GCAGTACAGCGCCTGCCTGGCAAGCATGAGCTACCGAGTTTGACCTGCAGTACCAAGAAGAATTTTCTTCTTTTGTACCGGGGATCGAACTCGGGTCCTTGTGCTTACAAGGCAGGCAGAAGAACCACTGAGCTAAATCCCTGGCCCCCCAAAATAATCTTTTTTGATGAACACCTTGCTGTTTTTACCTAATGATATATAACTGATGGAGGGCTCCTACCAAAAGTAGAATGTCTGCTTTGCCATTTTTTTGTGTGAAACCTGTAGCCTGAATTTTGTTCACTGAAACAATTTCTTAACAATCTGTGGTCAGTTTAGTTAAAAACCAAATATGAACTGGAAATCTACTTAATTAAGCACAGGTAAACTGCCACGTCTTATGCAGCCCAAGTAATATGCTGCTAAAATTGTTAAAAAGAGGGCATCTTGAATTCACAGCCCCTTTGGGATTCCATTTATTCTCTCTCTGCTGTCTGGTACCAGGGATCAAACTCAGGACCTTGTGCTTGCATGGCAGGCAACCAAACCACTGAGCTAAATCCTCAGCTGAGATTCCATTTGTTCTATACCCTGAAGATAGCTATACTGTAGGCCGTGGAATACTTGTTCCTTTGATATAAGAACTGAGGAGGTTGCCAGTGTCGATCAGTAAATCATTGAAAATATAATTTCTTATTTTTTAAGATAAAAATAAATTATAAGTGTTCTAGCACTTTAAGGGACCATCCTGTCCAAACTCTGGTTATAGGCATAAAGCTCAAGAGACCACCAGTTTAACTGTAACGCAGAAAAAAGATACCTGGGACATTTGGCCTTCCCTGTTCTAGCTCCACCTGTGTGTGCCTCCTCCCTGGCCTTGAAGGCTCAAGCTTCGTGAGACACGGTGTAGTGTCCCACAAAGAAACCGAGAGCTGGCTAAGTGCTTACTAAATGGACTCAAGTGAATTCTGATTATTTCTGATTTTCTAAGGAGACACTGCCAGGGCTAGATCACCAGAAATAAAGCTGTAGTTCTGAAAACTTACTTTCTAGCTGTATGAATTTCATCAAATTACTCTCCTGTTTCTCAGTTTTACCATCAGGAAAACTGAGGTAATAAATTGCACATAACCTAAAATCAAAGTATTCAAGCAATTAGTTGACAGCAGGCGGGAAGATAAAATTTAAGGAAACAACCAGTGAATGTCAGTTTTGGTGGTTATATATTTTTAATCAGTTCCGATCATTATATACCCTAACCACTCGAGTTAATGTTACTTAGTTATTATTACTATTTTTAGTTTTATGAGACAGAGGATCTCATTGTGTAGTCCAGGATGGTCTTGAACTTACTATGTAGTGCAGGCTGGCCTTGAACTCACAGCAATCCTCCTGCCTCAGCCTCCTGAGCCACCATGCCTGGCAAGTTAACTTTTATTATTGATTAAAATGTAAAAATGGCTCTTGATACTACTACCCCATTAAGTCTTGTTCGTGATTTCCCATAGTATGGTCAGGAAGTCATTTTATCACCCTCACAATTTGATACAAACCGACAAAGTGTCAACCATATCCAATCTCTTTTTTGTACCGATTTCCTATTCTGAAAAATGGAGATAACAGAACTTACTTTGTAAGGCAGTTATTCATTTAAATAATAGTATATATAAAACATTTAAGAATAGTGCCTAGCGCACTCTAAACATCTTCTAAGTACTAACTAGAATTATAGCGAATAAATGATTGTCAGCAGGCGGGAAGGTGAAATTCAGGGAAACAACCAGAGAACAGTAATTTCAGTGGTTAAACGTATTTTAAAAATAAACTTTCCAGGGGCTGGGGATTTTAGCTCAGTGGTTCCACTCCTCCCAAAAGAACTTTTTTCAGCCTTCAAGTCTTATTATGAGACTGAAATACACATTTTTTTCCTAAAATTTCCTTTTAGCCTTAAGATTTTTTAAAAAACTGCATCAGTTCAAAATACTTGAAAGCAACAATAAAGCCAGTCATAGCCTTCAAATAGACTATTTTCCTTTTACTATATACAAAAATAGCCACTTCCAGTTCATACAACATAAACACTTGTTACTTTCCTGCTGGCATAACTGGGAGTTGGAATGACAAGCTAAAAAGTAAAGAAGAATTAAATTTAATACTTAAAATTAGTATTTAAAGCTTTTCCCCACAGCATGTTAGGAATAGTAGCAAAGGTCTTTCCTAGTATCACGGAGGGGTACCATTCAGACAACAAAGCTGCCAATAAATGTGCTAATAACATTCTTTATCCTCCGAACTCACAGCGATCCTCCTGCCTCAGCCTCCCACGTGCTGGGATTACAGGCATGCAGCACCACCCCTGGCTCATGTTCTTTTAATTGCAAAAAATAAGTGCTTCTACTGCTCTTGGGCTATAAAACCTATACTCAGGTTTGAGATTACAAATTGAGTGGCTATCAGCCCCATCTATCCTGTTATATTTTTACTTTGGTTTGCAGGGTTCTGAAATACTGGTTGTCAATATTTAAGAATCAAGAGCTCTCACACAAAAATCCAACTTTAGGGTTTCTCTTGGGTGGAGAAAAAAAAAAAGTATCTCCTAATAAACATTCCTGAGGGCAACGATCTTCAAGAGCTGCCTTGATACTTCCTTTTTACTAATGGCACAAATACTCCAATTGTTTATTCCTTATCCCCATTGTCTCAACTCACTTACCCATCTCATTTGCTTTATTTGTCAGGCCTCTGGAGACGTCTGAGTCTGCACACCCTACCTAGACCTATCCTGTCTTCCATCAAAGCTTACTTTGTTCGTTCCCAAGTCCCTCATCAGTTTTTCAAAGCAATAGCTGGGTAATCTGATAAAGTACCAGTACTTTTACACGTGCTCTCTGGAGATAGTATCTTAACAGAGAGGGATGAGTCTGCAGGTAGAAATTACAAACACTGGATTACTATCAGGACGGCAAGTGTTCATTCTACTTTCTTTAGTCTGTCATAGGCATGCCTCACCGTTCTCAGGCCAGCAGAAGGAACTGCTTCTCGGTAGAACAATGGACACTACCCTACATGTGGAATCTACTCAAACAACACTTTTACAGATCAACCTCTTTCCCAAGGACTCAAAGCAACCACGGGCAATTCTGCCTCCGTTTCCTCGGAGCTTCAGGATATCCGGGCTGATGGCATTTCCCCTCACCTGCTTTTGGGCCCGTTTTGCCTGGGCAGAGGCGCCAAGGAGCGCGCGCATCTAGCATGAGCTCATCTCTCAGGGGCGTTTCCAGAAAGCGCAGAGCCCCCAGGCTATCGGTGGCCCCCGCGGCTGGGCGGGGCGAGGGCACTCAGGGTTCTGCCCTACGGGAAGCTTTGTTCCCACTTCTGGGTCTGAGAGCTCGTACCCAGTGTGGACGGCTCCTGGGTCCGTCCAGCCCTTTAAGGCAAGGCTTTACCCGACCCTCTGCAGGCGCGATCCCGCGTGGCCAGGAGCCTTGGGCTTACAGGACGAGCCGCGCCCCGCGGGGAGCCCCCAGTGGGTGGGGAGGGCTCTTTGCCTCTCTGCTCGCTCGAGTGCCCCGATCCCAGCCCAGCCGACCGCAGCAGTTTCGGACCGGTTGTGCAGAGGGTCCGCGCGCCCCTTCTGCGGTTTCCGCGCTGGCTGGAAGGGAGCAGCCACAGACGAGCCGGGCAGGTCGGCAGCCACGATCCGGGTCGAGCTTCTCCGGCTCCTGGGACCGCCGGAGGCGGACGGAGGCCAATCGCACTGCAACTAGGTCTTGCGATTGCATGGCAGAGAGTGCCGATTGGCTGCCCCACCGGTTTCGGCTTCCCTCCTTTTCCCTTCTGCCCCCTCTCCAGTTGCAGAGCCTCAGGCCAATGAGACTGCGCCTTATAGACGCCCTCCCTTCGCGTTCTTCTCCAGTCTTCTGCGAGGGAGGAGACGTTCTGACTGGCCCGATGTCCTCGGAAGCCCCCTTCCCCTCACCAATCACCAAGAGAGGTACACTCCCAGCGGAGTTTTCCGGCCAATTACGAAGAGGCCGCGGCACCTCACCGCGCAGTTTCACCCGCGACTTCGGGTTTCACCTTCCTTAACTCTTCACGCTTTTTCCTGAGAGCCGACAACTCTGATTGGTTACGACTGCTATTGGCGAATTTCTTCTCCAGCCATCCACAGAATAAGGCGAATCCACCTTCATTCCGCTCGGCTATCTTCGGCACTTTCCGCTCCCTGGGCGTGGCTTCTCGAAGATCCTTTCTAATTGGTTTCTCAGGCCAATCGGGTTTTTCCGGAAGAAGCCGCAAACCAACGACGTAGGTGATTGGCTCCGTTTTGGGTTTCGGCCTCCGGCCGAAACAGCGGGGGGCGCGGGCTCGGCCGGAGATTCCCAGACGCCTGTTACGCGGGCGGAGGGGCGCTGGGCGGTGTAAGGCTGGGTGGGGGAGGAAGGAGGCGGAGGACGAGTAGGAAGGGGGAGGGGAAG